ATTTTTTAGTTGTATTTGTATTTGTATTAAGCTGCCAATGAAGAAAGTCGATAAATAAATAAAAAAATAATGATTGGTCAAATGAAAATGCGCATGCATTTTTTGTATGAAATATGAGCAGAAAAGATTGTTATTCATACGCCACGTACACCTGAGTAGGTAGAGTGTTCGTATCGAACACAAGAGGTGTCATAAATGATTAATTATTTTCTCAGAAACTATCAGGGCTTACGAAAAGTAATGTACATGCAGTTTATGGATAATTTTATTTGCTTTTACTTCCCGCATCTCGTATTATAATTATCCAGTTGGTTCGTAAGATATACGTGATTAAGTGAAACAACTATTTTTTAGGGATGAAGAACGGTAAATTGCAAATATCTCGAAAACGTATCCATAGAAAAAAAATTATCTTTATTTTAGGAACACCGAGCAATTCTACATAGGGTTTGGATAGTGGCACCCATAGAACATTTTTGCTGTAGACCAGTGTTATTAGAACATTGAACGAATGCTTAACCTATACAGTGTTTTAATCTAGTAGTCAAAGTTCAAAAGGGGCATATCATATATCCAAAAAAGTATTTTTGCTGCTTTTTCTCCCATGAGGCAATTTCTTAGAGGCTGGTATATAAGACAGGGCTGCCAACTATCCTTAGCTTTGAGGTGCCATATTAATGATGAAAAAGTGCCAAAATGTGCCAAATAGAAAAATAAAAGTGCCAAAAAAGATGCGATTCTTTTTAATCATTCCCATTTAGCAATAAAATAAGAACCACATTTTCATAACAGAAGTGCAATGATAAAATAAGATAAACCGGTTGAATAGACTTTAAAAATTAGAAAATTTTATTTGCTAAAAAGAAATACTACACGCAAAGGATTTCACAGAAATGTATTGAAATATAATTTTTTTTTACAAAAGCGACATTTTGGCAATTTGTGCCGAATTGAAAAATTATGTGGCATTTGAAGTAAAATAGGGCCAAAAATGGCACGGTTTGAGCCAAGTTGGCAGCCATGCACTTGGAACGCTGGCGGGTGGAGCGCACAAATATTTGCGGGCCAGATTTGTCGTATTTTAGTAGTGAGATGCGCTCGTTTTTCTTTAAGACAGACCTCAATTGAGCTTTAATTTCAAACTTTTTAATGTTCCCAGAATTTTCGCCTTCGCTGGAGAAATATACAATTATTTCTAGGTTGCTTATACGACTTTTAGCAGTACTTGTTGAAGGCCCATCAATGTTGCTTGACATACTAATTAATCATATAGCACCCTGGTTAGACAGACTTAGAGCCATTTCAACAATATTACAGTGGACTCTCTGCCCATGTATACATTCGCAATCGCAAAATATTCGTATCATAATAATAAATATTGTGCACGTTTTTCATTTTCAATCTTATAAATTGTTTATAATGACTTTTGCTAAAATATCAAAATCAAAAAGTTATCAAAACAAATTCTATGGGACCGAGATATATTATTTTCTAATTTTTAGTCCATTTATAAAAGCGTGGTATATTAAAAAGTTTTTTTGTTTAATTTTTATTTCATTTATTTTGGTAAAGTTACACACGAGAAAGGGGTGCTCATCTTCCAAAAATAAATAAATATGCCACACGGTTTCTTAAGAAATTTAATTAAACAATTTTTTACAAATGCTTCGTTTTAGAAAAAATAATTATTAAAATCGGTTTACTACTTTGAGAAATATGTCGTGACAAACAAATTCCATATAATCAATTTTTTATAATAGTATAGATATATGTATATACTAGGGTTATTAATTTTTCAGCTTTTACCGATCCCGGAATTTTCGAGATGTCATTCTCAGAGTACCAGGATTCGTCCCGTGATTTGGATATTCATTACCTTTCAACCACTTAAATAGAAAAAAATGCTTCTATATTGTAAGCTCTCCTACTATAAAATAAATAATAAATAAACGGGTTTGAAACCTGTTTTTTTTTAATTTAAAGTGGCGTTTTTATTTCTTCTCTCTGACGTCAGGATTTATTTTAAAAGACTTTGTAATCTCAAAGATATAATTAATTCCAAAAATTATTTAAAACTTTCAAAGCAATGTATAATAAAAATATGGATACCAAATGCAAGACGAAATTTCTTTAGAATTTAAGAAAATTAAAATTTTTGGATTCACAAGGACGAATAGGTAATTTTTAAGCTCATAAAGTTAGAAGGACGAAATTCGAGGATGCTATGGAGTTCATATAAGTCCTTATAATATAATTTTTCAGAAACAAACATTGTGAAATTTCAAGGATAAAATTTTCAAAGGACATTTTCAAGACTTACTAGTTATTCTGCATCAAAAACTTGAATCCGTTAATCCGCTTCTTCTCTAAGCACATTTTTCTGAATTTTTTAAAATATTTTTGAATTACTGACGTCAGAGTGAAAAACTAAAAACGCAATTTTACCATGTTTTGGTTTCGCAAATATATAGATATTTCTGTTTCAAATTTACTATCGCGCGGTGTTATATATGTATATATATGAGCTAGACATTTAAAAAAAAAATTACTTATTAAATAAAAAAAGAAATATAGCCAATACTAGGCAAGAAAAGGAGTTTCTATTATCGCCATCAATATCCCGGGATTTATGGGACCTTAAAAAGGCCGGAATCCCGGGGTTAACATTCCTAGTATATATGTGTACATGCGCATCATGCTTTAAATCAGTGATCCCCAAAGTGGTCCAGGGGTCCAACGGATACTCGAGGAGGGCTACGTTGGCGTGAAAAAAATATGGGGGTCCACGAGATGTAAGTGGGGGTCCACGGAAATTTATCTGGTTTCAATAGTTACCAAACTGGTTGCTTGAAAGCCTCTTTATTTAACTTTAATTTTGTGAGTGGTGTTGGTACGGATGTTGGTATAGAACTGAGTGGGGCGATTATAGATTCGGTCTTTTCGCTATAGTCTGTTTCTGAACTAAAATTGTGGCGTAAACAGATTTGCGGGTTTGCTCTCTAAGTTTTTGTGTGTTTAAAATGTGAGTGATAAATATTTTTCGCATCACTTCAAAATTCGAAGTGATAAAACTAAAAATGACGTCATCAACACAAATAAACTATTTCACAAATACGCCACATGCAAATTCATGAGTGAGTCGAACATGTAAGAAGTGTAAGAAGTGGTGATGAGAATATAAATAACGCTAGTTCTCGTAGTGCTCTTAAAAAATATAACTCCTCAGAGCGAAGGAGTACTTTGTTGGCTTTATGAGCTCTGTTAAAACTCGCAAGTGTGTAGATAGAAGATAGAAGAAGATATTTTATTTTTATTTTTGCCACTCCAGATTTAGTTTTGGAACTCACCCGCGATGCAAATTTACATCGTTAGATCTAATCTTCACATTTTTTGATGAGCTTTGGAAATATGCTAAATGTAGCAGCAGGTGATCCACCGAAACCAGAAAAGTTTTGAAAAGGGCCTACGAGAAAAAAAGTTAGGGAACCTCTGCTTTAAACAAATTTTCTTCGAGATTATTGTTTTCTCGGGTGTTACATAACTCGCTTAGTGCTAGCTAAGTAAGGATATATGTATGTAGCTCTAATCTAATTATACTTAGGGGTCGGTAACGGTATATAAGAAGCCGAGACTCTACTTAGTTTAAGTTTTCGCATTAAGCACTTCCCATACAACAATAAGTGAAAATGGCCAACCAGTTCGTTTGCAGTCTATTGCTGTTGATCGCAGCCACAAGTACCTATGCTCAGATAACCCCTACAATCGGAATTGTAGGTGGTGTAGCAGCTGCCAGTGGCACCCGGTCATACGTCGTATCAGTGAAGGACTCAGGTGGATCCATCCTCTGTGGTGCTGTTTTATACAATGATGTTACCGTTATTACCACTGCCTCGTGTTTGGTTTTCCTCCCTCTTGGAAATTTTCTTGTCGGTGTAAACAATGGCACTAAGAGCATACAAATTGTGGCAAATATTTCCAATCCTGACTTTGACTCCGACACAAATGAGCATGATGTGGCACTCTTGAAGTTAGCAGAATCCGTAAGTGCTGAGTACGTTGAATTGCCCAGCAATAAACCGGTTACCGGTTCTACCGGCGTTCTCACTGGCTGGGATGCCAATAATATTTTAGTAGATGTATCCGAAACTATCATAGCCGCTGACGATTGCGTTTCTGGCAATTATGGCTACGACGTTGATGAAGTTTTTGCCTCAAATGTATGTGGCCTTGCTAAAAACAAAGCTTGCAACGCTATCGGAGGAGTGCCATTGGTTTCCAACAATCAGTTGGTTGGTTTGCTTTCCTGGGGTAATGCTTGTGCCAACGACGACAATCCAGCGGTCTTCAGCAACATTTTCGCCGAGAAATCATGGATTGAAAGCAATGTAAACAATTTGTGAAATTTCAGTAAATAACAATAAATAATGCAGCAAATATATAAATATTCATAAGAATTGACAAAATTTATAGACTTATGGCCTTATTCATAAAAAATAAAGTAGCTTTAAAAAAGGTTTATAAACTGAAAAATGTATGAAAACGTCATTTTATAAAGCTCTTTAAATCTACTTTATTTTTTATGAATAAGGCCATTAGTTTCGTAGATTTAAATGGTCGGATTGCCAATAAAGGCTTCTTAAGTTTTTTAGCGGCCTTCACATAGAAGTATCTAGGAAAATTCAAAAGATTGGTCTAAAAGATGCATCAGGTGCATTGATGGAAAGCATAAAATCAGAGTGTTGTAAACATCTTAGCTCCCGGTATGGGTAAAATTTGCGAAAACCCAGCAGAAAGTGTGTAACTGTTTCTTGTATAGCCCAGAGAAAAATGTGTTATTGCTTCTTGTGTGTGCAAATCTCTTTGTCTCTACATTTGCTATAGACACTTCTTCGGATGATATAAAATCATACATAACGACTAAAATTAAAAATATTGATCTATTAATTCGTAAATGTAATTTTAAATACGATCGCGATATTTCATCATTTTAAAATTGATGTAACTGCCGAAGATTTTGATGCACTACTAAATAATTCATTTTGTCAGACCGGCGCGTTTGTTCGCGAGTGTGAGTATAAAGCTAATAAAAGTAATAATAACGTAGCTATAATTTCTAATCTTAATTCGGATTCAAAAAAATAACTCGCAAGTCTAATTTAAGTATTTACATAAAACGTTAGAGGCTTGAATACCTAATTAACTGACTTATATATAAAAGGTTTTTACTGCAATTATAATATTATTACCTTGATTGAAACATGTTTCAAATCTCATATTTTTAATTCAGAATTTCTTCCAAATCAATATCAAATATACCATGACCATGAGGGCAGCATCGGCGATGGTGTTCTTTTTGCGGTGCATTCGTCGATACCATCCGAGGAAGTTAGTGTTCCTGTCATTGAATTTACCGAAATTAAAAGTATACGTGTACAGGCTGGCAAGAGTTATGTATATTTATTAGGGCTGGGTAGCTCATTGAATTTTAGCGAGTTAACTCAATAACTCAAGCTCCTTTTAATGAGTCAACTCAGTGAGGTGGCACAATTGAGCTATGACACTCTGCTGTTGAGACAACACAGCCTAGAGTTGGTTAGCACCGATGTCAGCCGATGAGCTCTGTAGAGCTGGTTTGCACTGTAGACCTGTTAGAAGGAATAGGGTTGATATGTACTGTAGAGCTTGTTTGCACTATAGAGCTGTTAAAAGCAATAGAGTTGATATGTGCTGTAGAGCTGATGAGCGCTGTAGAGCTGGTTTGCACTGTAGATATGTTAGGAGGAAATTAGTTGGTATGCGCTGTAGAGCTGGTGCGCGGAATAACTTGAACGAATTGTAAATTTTCACAACTATTAAATTTTTCGCAATTTTCTCATCTTTATTTCCATTCTTTATAGGGAATTTACATGAGGCGATTTTTCAGGCGATTTTTAGTTGAAAGCAACAATCGCCTGGTGTAAACAGCCTTTCAACTAATCGCTTACAATGAAGTTGGTCGGCTCCCTACTTTCGTTCAACTTTTGGTTCAACTAATCGCCTGTGAAAGTTGAATCATGTAAATTCCCTATTACTCTGAGTACCGACTATGTGCGGAATATTTATTGAGCTCAAAAGGATCCAGAGGATGCATACCATCCCGCTCTTGAGTTAAGCTACGAAATCATAATTGAATACATAATAATAAGTCGTATAGTTGAAGTACTAGAGCGTAGAGTTTGTTTCGAATGTGTGTATGTGCCAAAACGTAATACTGTTCATGAAGAACCAACACAATTATGGTTCACTAAAGAGCTTAAAAAAAT